CTAGAAAATATATGGGAAGTGAGAAAGGTGCAAAATAAGTGAAGTAACGAAGGTTTTATGTACTGCCGTATATATACGGGTCCCGTCACCAAAGGGTTAATTTGATTATATGTCTGTATAGTAGAGGTCGAATACTATATATATACACTCGTTTAATATGAAAAATCCTTGAATATAAAATACAATAAAAAGAGACAAGGGTCAGTTCTAAGAAAAAAATGACATAAAAAAAGACGAAATGATACTGTTCTTATAGGATGCTTTCATGAACAGTCAACCACAAAAAACACAAAGTATTCAGAAAACTTCTCATTTTATCAGACTTTGTAGAACTTTTTTCGCTGATCATTTTGGTAAAAAACATTTTGGATTTCATTGAGAAATGACGGTGTTATAGTCAAAATACTAAACACTGTGAAATACCGTGTATCCCAAAATGTTTGCAACATAGTTTGTTTTGCGAATATCTCTGCACAGGCAAATGACAAAATCTTGATTTTTTTTCAAAAGATGCGTCGTGAAAAGCTCTACAAAACTGTTAGAATAAATCCTTATTGACTTGTTCGCATGGTTGCTTCCATACGCGAAATGAAAAAATAATACATGATAGTGCTACTTCCCACTGTATTTAACATAATAAAAATGTTTGAAAGACTTATATTTTGCATGTATCTCGGCTTAAGAAAATGGTAGCAGCTTGATGTTTTTTTCAAAAGATGCGCCGTCGAAAGCTCTATAAAATCTGTATAAACAATTCCTATTATAAAACAAAAACGTCTTCCCAACATTTTTATTATCATTTTGTCATTTTTTTCTTAGAACTGACCTTTGTCTCTTTTTATTGTATTTTATATTCAAGAGTTTTCCGTATTAAACAGATGTATATATATACTACTCGACCTCTACTATACAGACATATAATCAAATTAAATTAATGTTGTGTAGTTTTAATCTTATGAGACTTATGACGTCTACTGTAATAACTATACCAACGTTTATTACTATTCAACAAAAAATATTTTTTACACTTACAAAACATGTTTTTGAAATACACGCTTGAATTTACTTTCTACACTTTCACAATAAATACACAACTTTTTATTCGTTTAAAAGAGTTTGTACATGTCTCTAACAGACGCTCTTGGAGACTTAGGTCTCTCTCAGAAGCTTACACATAGCCCTGTTGGAATAAAAATACCGTTTTTTGTATGAGTAAGTATATGTCTCTGAGAGACTCACATCTCACTTAGAGACTTGTATATACAGTTTTAGAATAAAATTTTTATTTGAGTCTCTAAGTAACTCATACTTATCTTCGTGAGATATTAGCACCTCTATTTCGTTGAGTCACTATGCCTCTACGAGCCTCACATGGTATCTAGAGACACATTGATACCGTTTTTAATTAAATAAATCGTTATTTTCAATTAAAACAGCACAAACACACGCCTCTACGTGACATATACCAATAATATAATGTTATATGTCTCTATGTGACATATTAATACTTCAATTAATTAAGAAACTAATTAATTAAACCTAAAACAACATAAATTACACATTTATGAAACTTGGAAACAAGTTTTATAAAATTTAGGAAACTTGGATGTTGAATTTTTTAACCCAGAAGTTACATAAAAATGAAAAATTTTATGAAATTTGCAAAACGTTTCATAAATGTGTGATTTACGAAACTGGATTTATGAAGACAGGATAATCCCTTTATTCTGATACCAATCCGACTTATGCAATTCCTGATTTAGAGGAGAAATTTACCATCTATTGGATATCCTACTGCGATTCTAATTCAAGCGATAGTTACCGAAGACAGGCAGCTGGTACCTTAACATATCACAGTCCAATTATACTTCAATACGAATGACATTCTAGCATTCCTCACAAGTTTCAACTGGATAAGTCGTGTGCTACTCAAATCGTTTTCGGTCAGGAGGTTGCGATCTTGTTATGACTACATTTTGTAAAATTCTAATGTGTATTTTTCTACAACAGATCCTAAGCATTGCAATCTTTGTGTCTATATAATAAAAATTTCCTAACGTAGTCTTGATGTAGATGTAACATTGGGACGTTTTTTGAGCATGAGTATGACCTCCCAATCAAGACTATTGACTTTTAATGTTTTGTAGATTTGCTTCTTATTGGAAGAATTTAAATGAATCTCATCGAACACTAACAAAATCATTTGGTTTAAGATTTATTATTAGTGTTAGTGGTACAGGTGGCAAGTTTGATATAATTACCTTAACATTGAATATTGGTAGTATCATTGGCATATTTGGACTGGCATCGGTTCTTTCTGATATTGTTGTATTACATTTATGTCGCAATGCTCACGTTTATAAACAGCATATTGTTGAACGAGTCGATAGAAATACCATACGGAAGGATATTCAGTATAGTCTACAAGCGAAGACCGAACAAAATATTAGAATTGATTTATATTCGAAAGAACATACGGCTTCGTTGACTAACGAAAGTAGAATTGGCCGTACCCGTTCACCAAGTATTATTCGTCCACTAGTAGTTATTAATACTGTAAAAACTCATTCGTCGAAAGATGATCAACTACCAGTGAGAACACAAGTTTGAACAATATTAAGAAAGATGATATTGAACTCTAAAAAACTACTTGATTTAAGCTAATTTTATCCGTTGAAAAGAATGAGAAAAAAAATATATTTAATCTATTGGAAGTTGTAGTAGTTGAGTTACGTATTATCTCGTTTGAAGTCTAAAGAAGAGCAGAACATACATATGTAATTTTTTTAAAAAACATATTTTTCATGTTTCATGATACACATTGGAAGAAGAAAATGAAAGACAGGAATACTTAAGAACGGACGATGCAGAGGACATCTGACCTTGAAGGACTTTGACGTTTTTTAGTGAAGTGAAGAGTATTCAACGTAAATGAGCAATAAAAGTGAACCTAAAGCAGAAGTAATATTTAATCAAGTTTAAGTATTAAGGGTACCCCTCCCCTCTTTTTGGGCTTTTCGTAGAAATGCTGTGAAATAAAAACTAAAAGTCGCTGCTAGGGCATCATATTTTCAGAACTGATTAGAAATGCAACGGAGCACTTTTCTGTTTTTGTTTCAAATTTTTAACTATTGTCGTTCACCAGTTTTTCAGAAAACTCGGTTTTTTATTGGACCACATTACGACCCCCGTTAAATTTCATTCGATCGAGTTAAAAATTTTACCAAAGGTACTCAAGGTCATATCGCAGAGAAGTTTTAGGGGAAATTTTTTAAGAGATTTTGTGGTCGAGCTATAGGAAAAATACCGAAAAACGTCTCAAAAACCAAGTTTTTCAGTTATAGAAATCCGGAGTTTTAGAAGTAACTCGGTAAAGAAGAGTCTAAAATAAAATTCCAATAAAGTCCTATGCAATAGTATGTTGAGTACCTCTGGTAAAATTTTTGACTCGATCGGATGAAATTTAAGGAGGATCGTGATGTAGTCCAATGAAGTCTAATAGTTAAAAGATAGTTTTCGAGAAAAGGCGCATTTGTACACAGGCCGTTTTTTCCAAATCGATGCTAACGAAAACTCATCGGAAAATTCTGAGAGACATCTCATTGTGAAGAAAACACTTTCTTCTACTAGACTATGTGTAAGAAAAATTTTGAATGTACAGAAAAGGAGAGAAAAGTTTATGAAACTAAAAAATTGAGTTTTTTTAGGCTTGGAAGGAAAAATCTTTTGAAGAAAGGTCATGCAGTGCTGGGGGTGGTCTCATTTTATAGCCCACACTTTCCTCTACATTAGGCTATACTCGGCTCAACAACCGAAAATTTTTCAAAAAAGAGGGGAGTACCTTTAATTAAAGATTGCTGCTTCCCGTTTTAAAAAGGTCAAAAATAATTGAGAGAACTTCATTCCTGCGTGGCTTAACAACCGACAATGTATGATTATGATTCGATAGAAAGAGCAACGAAAAGTCTACCCTAAGATCTCAGTTTATAATTAATTAATACTATTTCCTTGTTAGAACAGGACAGGTATGGATACTTTATGCATCACCTTTGATAGGGAAGTGATAGAGATCTCCTGCGTTCATCAACCGAAAGCCGTTTTTCCATGTAAGGATAAGTTTGTAGACCGCTCCTTAAAGCAGAAGTTGTTAGAAACGGTCCTTGGAAAGCTGTTAACAGTTCAAGAGTTTATAATAGTTTTGTTTTTAAGAGTGCAAGAGTCAACAGATATTAGCCGTTGTAGTACTTCGCAAAAGTAGCGCCATCCCTGTAACTCAAAAAAGCATGATAGCTACGGACTTCTACGCGGGTGAAGCTTTGTCAGGAAGGATATATGGTCCCGTGCTTGACACCAACCTAGGCAGTCAGTTTCTCTAACTTATCTTTACTGCGACCATCTAAAATGGGAATTGGCACAGTGGCTTCTTGTTCATTGTCCATCACACCACCTTCAGCGATGATCACCATAATCAAGTGGTGATTAATCTCGATGCGTTCACTAACGTCATTCATACTAATATCGACTTTGTCAAGTGGTTAAACCCGTTATGTTGCATTAAATACGAAACTGTCTCTATATGTTCTTCTATTGAATTTGATTGTAAATAAGCTATAGCAAAAATATATTTGCTTAAAACAGGTTAAATCTTTATTGTTTCAACTACTAACGTTTATCTTCCATTGAAATAATTCCAGCTGATCCTGTTTTAATTTCGACACTAAAGTCCTTGTATGTTCCATTGTAAATATGTAACCGTTATAATGATACATTATGTGGAAAATGCACTTTTGAAACATCAAGTATACGATATTATACATTTTAGGCTTTTTGTTGTTCGTGCTCAAGATCTTTTGTTTTGTTTTATTCAGCAGATTACCTCTCCATGAGAAAAAACACTTATGAAAGCACATGATATATTCATTCCTTCTACAAATTTACTAATAAAAGGAAAAGAAATACATTGTTAAGGGGGGTAGCCACCACTGTTTTTTTTCATAACTTTGACTATAACTGAATAACCTTGCCAGTCAAAGTTTTTCTAGTGCCGTGTCACACGAAGTTTAGCAAACGTTTTCCTTTCGCACAAATTTTGCTTGGCGAAAATGCCTTTATTTTAACACTTCAGAGGGAAATAAAGGCATTTTTGCGAAAGGAAAATGTTTGCTAAACTTCGAGTGACACATTACTAAACGCAGTTTTTGACGCTGAGCACGAATATGGCATTAGTTCTCGATGGGTGAAAAGCCGGTTTTAATGTTCAGAAACCGGTTTTTCCCTCTGAACTTAAAACGTCTAACTTTCTCTTTTCATACTCTTATACAGTAACTACTTGATACATGATAACGCAAAGATATCCAAAAAAGTTTTACATAACCGATATTTCAAAAATAGCCCTAAGATCCAAAACATTAAAAGATGGATCAAATTCCTTTACTTAACTTCCAGACTATATTTATTCTACTCAGTTGTTGATACGCTTTCGAACGGCTTAATCAGGATTTTCTTTCAGCTACTCATGTCCGAGATTCAGCAATCGTATTGAAGACTATGGCCCTTTTGGCTTAAAGTCGGATGTTCACCCTAAGGAAAAAGCTTTTCATAATTACTTTTTTACTAGAATGTAGCCCACGCTCTCTTTTATCCGTTAATGTAGTTTTCATATTTTGTCGGTGTTTATACAGCGTAAAAAAAGAATTTTATCCATCGTACAAATAATTTTTGCCACCGGAAAACGTTCATTTTTCGGTCTAATGGGTCTACAAGTAGCAACAATGAATATTTCTAACTTTTTTTATCTACATATATACTAGAGAGAGCGGAGAATATTTTCGCGCAAATCGCTTATCAAAAGCTTTTTTCTTTGCCGAGTTATGATTAGAAGAAAAAGCGTGCAAATAATTTCTGTCGTCACTGTATATTATTCGTTATATTTGAGCGAAAGAGCTTGAAGAAAAACAGAATGCAAACGATCACGATCAGACTACAGTGAACTGACATTAGTTTTAGAGAAAAAATTTATAAAAGATCTATTAGACAGACATATTTTCTTCCTCTTTTACACACATAATAACTGTAAATAATTGTGCATCTAAACATACTTGAATCAAATTTTTGTCATTATTCCTGAATGACTTCTGAATATCGAAAATCAGCCGCTAAACCGAAAATTTTGACCAAAGTTCAACGTTAAAAAATCCATAACTTCACCAATATTCATAGAACCGGCGAAATTTCTTGAAGGTACATAGTACTCAATGCACTCTGCAACTTCTTCACGGCTTCTCCAGCTAAGATATCCATTCTATCTAGGTCAAAGAATCTTACTGTAGGATCTTATAAGATTCTTGTACGATTCCGTTTGATTTCGTAAGATTCTTATAAGACATTATTCTGTAAGGAACATAGAAATTGATTCTTGATGTAAGATCTTATAGTAAGATTTCATCAGATTTCGTAAGATTCTTGTATGGTTTTTATAAGATTTTATATGATGAATCCGCTTCTATTCTAGTAAAAGATCTTGATCTGATTTTTTTACCTGAGTATCTATCTAAGCATATCTCGGCACTTCTCTTTTCGCACTTTTTGGCATATCCATCTTGGTATTTCTTGGCGATTCAAACGTCTACAGTAGAT